AGTAGTAGTAGTAGTAGTAGTAGTAGTAGTAGTAGTAGTAGTAGTAGTAGTCGTAGTAGTAGTAGTAGTAGTAGTAGTAGTAGAATCTTTTGGAATAATCATCCAGCACAAGCATCTTTTTTGATTGCGTCAAGCTGCCTTCCCTCCAGGCAGAATGCTTCAAAGGGGGAGTTCGTTGACGACCAGTGGCATTACCCGGAGGCTCCAGGAAGATGGTCCATGTGGTCTGGACAGGGCCATCGGCTGATAAGTTCCAGTTGTTGTGGGGCGGAATGGTATTGGAAGCTTTGCCATTAGTCAACATGTTTTCATTTTTAGCACTGCCAAGTATTGCGCTTGTTTTGTATTTTGAATGAGCGTATCTTTGCGCTACCATTAAATGGCATGTCTTCTCTCGTAACCCTTCAAGTGCCAGGAACGCGCCATCGCTGCCAAGCGGACCAAATTGCAAGCCGTGCTTGCCATGCGCTTGGTTGGATGCCAAGGGACGCCCCTTTTCGGTTCACTTGGCCCGGCGCGCTCGCTGCCCCTGCAAACCTGGATTTTGGCATGATGCAAACAGGGGCCCACCCTATATGCGCTATTGCAGCCAGACATGCGCAACACTGGCAGCAGCATGCAGTGGGCTATACGCAGGCCCAAACCGCGAAGTCAATGGCCAGTTACTACCGTGGCAACCGCCGGGATCAGCTGGAAAGGGTTTCCAGCAACCCCAGCCTCAGCAGCCCCCAGACACAGGCAGCTGGGCGGCAGGGTGGACACCCTGGGATGCCCCCATGTCGCACACCGCCTCAGCCCTATCAGCCGCCATGGGAGCAGAACCATGATGCTTGGAACACTGCAAACGAGGCGAGCAGCAGGCGGTGGTTGGGGCACCTATTGGGCGTGAGCTTTTTGCCAGCGCCAGTCGTACCAGCGGTCCAAGTCCTCTCCGCAAGCCTCGCTAGATGGATGTGCCGTTTTGAGAGGAAGCTAGCAGCACTTGTGACCTGCGCTTTGCGTCTTCCAGCCGCCAAGACAAAGTGAGCGTGTTGAAAACGATCAGCGCAGGGATTGGGGCAGGGAATGTGCAGGATTTGTCATGAATGGCTAGGCTTCACATGGACATTGCTACTGAGTGCTCTTTGAACTTGCAGGCGTCAGCCAAAGCCTTTGTGTCGTGCCAGGCCTGGGGAGTGTGACAGGGCAATGGCATGTGTTTTGTGGCGTGTGGCAGATGCCACCTTTTCATTTCATACTGTCGTTTCAAGCAGTCACGCTTCAGTATTTTGATGAGTTAAGCAGTCGTATGCAGTCGAGCTCTTTCCTCCGACATTGGGATGTGACATGGTTGACCAATGTATAGTCACTTGCCAGCCTTTGCTCCGCTGCACCACCGCTGCTACATTGCGTGCAGATCGGGGAGGCCGCGTGTATGGGCAAGATTGCGAACATTGTTTCCTTCCCATCGATTGGCCTTGCTTGTGCCAGTGAATTGGGTCTTGAAAGGGTTTGTCGGCTTTGGCGCTGGCAGCGCATTGACAGTAGCAGAAGTTCTTACCTTGCCATTCTTTTCGGGGCGAAGCAGAGGGGGCTCTCAATCCAAGTTTGCACTTTGCCAAATGTTCACCTTCAAGCTGTTAATCGCTCTTTCTTGGAGTTTGCTGCAGTAGCGAGCGGTTGCTTTGTTGGTGTGCTGTGGAGGACCTAGCTGCCCCAGCCGTACCATTGCCTGGGTAAAGGCAGGCTAGCCTCCGCACTGATTTGAAACCTGGACGGTCAGGGATGACGGCGTGTTTAGTGCTCAATGTGCTCAGGGGATTCGCAGAATTTCTTTGTTGTGTGTTGTCAGCTTCGTCAATAATTGGTTGGCATGGGCTGCGCCCTTTAACTTGTGATTTTGACCTTTCCAGGCAACTGTCCAGGCAATTGGGCGCAGAGATTGCCTGTGTTGTTTGTGGCAAACAGCTCAAGCAGTCCCAGCCAGTTATAGGGATGGCATGGAAAAAGCTTGCAAAAGATCCCAATACTAGTCTCTGGTTGCGCAACCTGAGCTAGTATTGGCATGTGATTTTCCCCTTTGATTATCCCGGGCCTCACGTTTGGTATTCAGTCGTTCATCTACTCTTCCAATACTATAGTCTGGTTGTACAACCAGCTGCTGTATTACATCGTTCCATTCCCCATGCAATACCATAAGCCACCCTTTTTCCAATCGAAAGGTTGTTTCAAACGCTGAAAGGTGTTTTGCCCATCCTGAGATCAAAAGGTTCGTGAAAAGCTTTGAAGGGTAAGACGCACGTTGAAAGGTATGTTGACACGTCCAAGGGTGGAGACCCACCCATGTGCCTGACTCCTTCTCACTCAATTTAACTTTGCTCATTGCCTTTGCCAGGTGGTCATGCCTCCAGTACCAGTCCATCCAGAGAAAGCTACTACATTGTGGCTGGAAGCTGCACACAGCAGGCCAGGGCGCATTGCGTTGCAAGCCTCTAGGCAGTTCAAGTTTCAAGCTGTTTAGATTCATTAGCTTTCAAAGGCCTCAGTTGTCACACGAAGTCACGCTGAGCAACGTTGGAGTTGAGGCTGC